AATATCTCTCCTTGTTTTCCCGCGCTATAATATACACATGTACTTTGTCTGTATAAGACATCAAATCCTCATTCATCCTTTTATTCCTTTTCCTTCCATTGGTTTTATGCGTTTGGGTTTTCTGCGCTTATTTCATCTTCCTATCGGTTTAATTACCCAAGTTTCTGGTTTCACTCCCAATAAACTACAATTCAACTCGTGTCTTCACACCGTTCTTCAGCTTCAATCAACCACATTGGAATAGGACTCAACTCTTATTTCATAATCAAAAGACCAACCTTTCAAAACAGAGTTGCAATCCCTCTACTAAATACCTCCTAAGAATCTATTAGAATAAAGCTAACAAAAAAAAAACTTTTACGACAGTATATGTTAGGCCACGTTCTAGACGTTTATAGATTGAGGGATTCTATCGCATTGATGTAACATTTATAAGTGACAAATTCAGCTAGTTGGAATAGCGAGTTTATTAGTAGTGACGTATTCGACACGTTAATTGCATATGAGTCGGCTACGAGCTTTTCTAGTATGAGAAGTAATTTCCCTAACAGAATTGTCTGCGGTTTCTTAAAACTTTCAAACTATTTTTGTTGCCCCGATTCGTTGCTCATCTTGTTGAGAAGTCCTAATACGACGTACATAAGAACTTTAAATGCCTCTCTTGGCTAATGGCCAATCCGATAATGCCGTTGAAAGCTTATGGCCAATAGAATTCTGATAATGATTGCTTTCTCTAGGGCCATTTCTTGAGCTCATATGCTAAGGAGGAATCAATACTGCTATGGCTTCTGATACTCAGTAAAACGCACGCATGCACAATTATACATCGAGTATGCACATTCCGCATCTGCAACAAATTTACGTATACTTTGATGGCCATTATAGTTACGTTTTTGTTATTTTAATGTTATCTACTGTTAAATTTGTGTAAATATTCAGAATTCATGATGGCCTAGACAGGAAGTTATTTAATTTTGGTTTGTTTTCCTTCCGCAGATTTGATGATTTCAGTTTATTCTTTTACTTTTTACAGATGAATACCAACTGGATTTCACATTTGCTTTGCTTTCTTTTACCAAATTACATGTCTCATCTAAATTTATTTTTGAAATATATTTATCAGAAATTATTATGCGCCTCCTTTTTTGGATGATTCTTACCGATTATTAAAACTTTAGAGATTGAAAGGTTGAAAAGAGGAGTGTGGTGAAACATATTCTAATAATCCATTCTTCAAAGATTTTATTATTAAAAAAAGAACTTCAGAGGATTTTATTACTGAAAATTACTAAACTCTCAAGCCTGAATAAGCTTCTATCGCATCATATGACAGTAAAAGTGCTATTGATAAAGCAGGCTGATCATAGTAGAACATCATGCAGTAATTATCGTCATTGAAATTATCTGGAATTAAAAATATATCCACTAGTAGGTTTATTTCATCATTAATCTCATTATTTGATTATAATTGATAGCATGCGAAAATTGTAGACGTCAAGACTGAAAATTTAACATTTGAGTGGGTGAAAAAATAATTGCGATATTACCGATTAAGTAGAAAATGATGTAGACATAAATTTGGCCTGAACGTTAAATGATATTGAATAATCTCAGGAAATTACAAATTTACATTTGTAGCGAAAGGCGCTTGTTTGTAGAAAAAAAACGACAGCTTAAACCGTGTAAGATTACGATAAGATACAAATCATTCTGGGAGAACATGCGGGGGAGCAACCTCATTTACATACATTTATGTCCACATTCATAAAAGTGTGTTTTTTCTTTTCATTTAAACATTTGTTTTTTAATATTTTTATCCTGAATTTCTACGTGCATTTTACGTTTGAACTTAAAATACTACTCTTACGCATCATAGAAATTTATTTTTTTTTCCTTCTATTGTAGTTCAATTAAATGCAGCTGGAAATTCATGGAATGTTTCTTTTCAGTGATCAACGTTGGAGCAGTTGCAGCATTTATCAGTAATTAAAATTACAAGTAAAACAAATAACTCTGGCCCGATTTGGACAATATGGCTGCTCAATCGGTATCTATATGTTGATTCCTTATCTTTTTGAGGACTTAATTTATTCATTAAAATTTTTTGCAAATTACTAATAATGGGAGAATTTTTGACGCAGGCTTTTGAATTACAAGCTTCATTTCATTGTTGCAATATTACTGAGTTATGTAAGCTATGTGGTAGCCTCTACAATGATATTCCAGGAGCTTCAGGAAGGTTTTTGATAGTAGCAAATTCAAAAGGAATGCGCAAATTGTATTGTTGCAAATTCAAAAGGAATGCGCAAATTGTATTGTTAATTAAACACTGAACTCGTGTTTTTTTCGACCACCAAAATCTATCATTCTGTCCACCGACTGATTTTAAATTTTTCAATATCTCTGAATTGAAAAGTTTTTGATGGAACATAGAAATCAATCAACATATATATTTTTAAACACCATTTTTTTTGGAGTTAAGCAAGTACTTTTTTTGCGGAACGCGTATTGTGCAGAGCAGTTGTTTTGGGTCATATTTTAAAATTTGAACTGATTTTTGAGAGCGGCCGAATACCAGAACAAACTTCGGATTATCGAGTTGCTGTATTTGGTGCCGGTGGCGTTGGCAAATCATCCATCGTATTACGCTTTATCAAGGGAACATTTAATGAAAACTACATTCCTACTATTGAGGATACTTTTCGACAGGCTAGTTTTTTTAGTTTGAAAGAGTTGCAAATGTAATAAAACAAGTGAAAACTGTACGTATTAAAAAAACTTTTAATTGAAATATGAATTTTAACTTACGTTTAAATATTAAGCAGTTCGATGAACTTTTCTTTGGAAGATGTTTAAATTCAACTGTTTATTAGATTAATGATGATAGTGACATCAATCTCCATAACTAACTAACTAATTATAGAAGCATTTTAATTTGCTTCAGAATTTTAGATTTAAGCCTAAATCCATTGCTTCATATCATTTCCATTCATACGGGTAACAAAATGGGTGAATCGAATTTTAGAATGGTAGACATTCAATTATAACTGACTTTTTTGCCTTTTTAAATTCATTTCTTTCCTTTCTTTAATATTAATATTCAATTTTAAATAATGTTTGAAGCAAAATTTATTTTGTGCAAAGCGGAGAACTAAAAAAGAAAATCGTTTCTATTTATTAACAAAAAAAATTTTAATTGGTTCCTAAGTGGAATTTATAAAAAAAAAGAAATTTTATGAAGTTATACATAGAATCTTACTTACGGATTTTTAGTTCTCCATTTTGCACAAAATAAATTTTAAAGAGAGCATAGTTTTAATAACATGATCTAGATTAGAGGCTAACATTTTGTTTTTTTTTACTTTCATGGCCCAATATTTCAATTTTTTATGAATTAAAAAGAAATGCAATCTTTAAGTTTTGTTTATTTTTTTTCATATTCAACACTTCCTTTCTATGAAAACAATGGCTTTTAAAATTGCTGTTTTTTGACAACGTGCTCTGACAAATCTTATGATGTAAACGGGCGGGAAAGAGATTGTATTCAATTTTGAACAATATTTCTAAATTATTATGGCTGGAAATAGATATCAATTAAAGATATTATTATATTATAGGTAATAAGCTGTAATCACAAAAATATATGTACATTACAAATCACCGATACAACAGGTAGCCATCAATTTCCTGCTATGCAACGACTTTCGATCAGTAAAGGAAATGCTTTTGTATTGGTGTATTCTATTACGAGGTTATTCTTAGTTGTTTTTATAAATTCCATTTCTCTTCTCTGATTTTACGGCCAATTATAAAAGTATGCGGTATCAGTTGCACAGGTACCGTTTTAATTGCTCATAATTAAAATAAAATATTACTCTTGTGAAAACTCTTTTGCGCTCATATTTCAACATAAGGTTTTCATATTTCAACATCTGAGTTTTCAGCAAGCAAAGTTTAGAGGAGCTTGGAACCATAATACTGATGTTAAAGGAAGTGAAAGGTGAAAGCGTTACTGAAGTGCCTATTATGCTTGTTGGCAATAAAAAAGATGAAGATCAGGTAATCTTTTTGCTGATGTTCTGGTCAAACTAATTCTGGGAAAAAGATCTGTGATTTAATTAGGAAAGTTTAAAATAATTTTAAAATAATATTGTACTCAGGAGGATTTAGGAGTCAAAAATCGCTGAAAGGTTATTTATCCATTACAATACATTGCTATTCAAAACAGAGATTAATTTGTGCCTAAGAAAAAAGTTTGTAGGTGGACTTATTGAAGTTCTAGATTGGCCGGAGGATCTCTAGCAATTTTTAGTTATCTTTGAAAAAAAGAAAAGAAAACCATCATAATCTTGCATAGGTTATTTATTTCTATCAATCAGTGATTGAAAGATTTTTGTTGTTAAATTTTCATCGATTTCACTTAATTCTAAATGAAGCATACAATTTCCAGCGACGTGAAGTGAGCTTCGAACTTGGACAAAAATTGGCCACGAAATGGGGAACTGGTTTCATCGAGACAAGTGCTAAAGACAATGAAAATATCACCGAATTATTTCAACGCCTGTTGGCGATGGAAAAGAAACGAACTTTGGCATTGACGATGGATGAAGAGAGTAGTAAAAGTGGCTCAAAAAGGAAGTGCTCTCTAATGTAGCTGTATTAATCTTTTAACAAATTGTCAACTTTTTGAATAATCCCGAATTTAAATGTTTTAGAAGTCACTCTGTTAAGGAATTGTTATTTACAGGTTGTGCCAGACAAAAAGAATCACTTTTTCTGTTCCATCAAATAAAGCAGATAGGATTTTCTTTGGTGCTCGAAACTGTATTACTCTTCCGTTCCTATTTATAACATCTGTTATCTGTTATTTCTCGTTTCTTTGTTATTATTATTATATCGGACTTTTTTAGTTTCTCCAACATGATTAATCTTCTCTTTAGTCCCATATGAAGGAAGCCAGTGATAACACATGTATGATACTACCATTTCCTCAACTTTTTATAGCTAAAGTTCATTCATGTCTAATTTGATAAATAAGACCTGATTCAAGCTAGATCGGATGAACCATCGATAATGATGATCAGCATCATGGCATTTATTATTACTGATATGAATGTAGATTGTGAGCTACATCACTATTGTTTGACTTCTTTTTTCTTATCGTCAATATTTCACTTTAGAAAGTCAATCATAAATGTCTTCAGTCATATTAATATTACAATTCATTGCTCGCAAATTCCGAAACCAGTTCGACAATGATTTAGTAAATATATCGACTTAGAGACGATTGCAACGAAAATCACCTTCTTCCCATTTATTTCGTCTCCTTTGATAGTACACCTTCAATTGCTTTAACGATCATTGACGTTATTAATAGTCTAATTGAAATTGTTTAATGGAAAACTTATTCTGTACATTTGAATCAACCAGCTCAAGTGTGTACCGCATGAATGTTATGTTAAAAACCAAACTTCGTAAAGTGTTGGTAGTTTACAGCCTGCGACATCAACATATTACCTGCAAATGTATACGATTGGTTTGTAGAATGACTCTGGAAACCTTTTACGTAGAAAAAAATCTTGATAATATTTAATTACAAAAATTGCAACTCTACAGACATAAATTATATTATATTTTTCTTTCTTTCGTGACGATTTAGGTACAGAATAGAAAATAGAGCCAGTAATGACAACGTATGAAAAGGAAAGGTTAGTGTTAGATAAAACGGATAAAACAATCATTAAGCAATGATAAGCATTAAAAGCTGCATTTCACCATAATCAAACACAATCAAAACACATTATTCGCAGTTCATACAGTGCTCCCAAATACCCACATCTAGAATTTCAAAACATTCCCGAACTGAATTAAAAACTAAAAATCACCAAAAAAAGGAAATGAAAAAATGAACTGAGATCAAAAATTAAAATTTTGCATAGTGGACCTGCAAAATTATGGAAAAAAATATATTTCCTGAAAAGTGAGAAAGGATTGAACATGAAACCTGCAAGAAAGATAATTACATCAATTAAAAAAGACTGCAAATATTTTTCAGGGATTTGCTCTTAATGAAGACTATGACAAAGGGGAGAAATAAATCATATACATACCCATTTTAAAACACAACTTGTCTATGACTTCACTGCGTGAAAATTTTTAAATGATCTAATATTTTTTTGTTTTAAATTGTTAGACATTAAACAGTGTAGGTTTCCTTGCGTTTGGAAGTTTCATTTCCTTAAGTGTTCAGAAGTCAGAGAAGAGAGCAATTAGAAAGCAATTGAGTAGAGGCACAACTCACTGTTTTATAGATTTCAAACGGAAACTTGCTGATTTTTGCAATACAAAACTTTTCTTCCTGAATTCAGTTTTTATAAAATCTTAAATTTTGAATTTAGATTCAGAATTTAGAGAAATTAAAAACCGGAAAGTCTAAAAAAATAGAGAGCCAAACCAATATTACCACTAATCCTCAATACAAAGGGAATTTGTCAAATACATAGAAAGGCTAAAAAACATGCATATTTTGTGCAAGTTATTTATTCACCTTGAATGTTTCTTTCTCCTTCTCGTTCACCATTTCCACTATCAAGAGCACCGCCAAAACGTAATCGTCCACCAGCTAACAGTTGTCGAAAAAGAATTGTAGCATACACCAAAACAACAAATGCAATAAAAATATCATCCACTATACCAAGTACACCAAATGCTGCTTCTGGCAGTATATCAAATGGACTTAAAATATAGACGGCCATACCGAATAAGCATAAAAAGACACGAATCCGAAACATAAACATCAATCCATTGACTGAAACTACGGCACGGAACATATACGGAACTAGTACAGGTAAATCCCGAATATAATCGATAATCTGAAAAAACTAATAAGGACAGACGGAAATATTAGAGTCAGTAAGAAGTAGAGAGGCAATAAAAATAAAGAAAACAATTTATTTTTCAATTTCGTAAGCAATAGGAAGTTTATTAGATCTTTGACTACCCCATAAATTTGTGATCTTCACTGTTTCCATGGAAAAGGTGAATAACAATAAGTAACCCACATTTTGATAAAATAGGTTGTAGGAATATGAGATGAATATGCCCAAAAATAATACGTTAAATCATACAGCAATGACATATTTTGGTGATATATATATTTCATGAATCACTTCAAAAAGTCTCTCTTTAATCTATTCAGTGTCACAAACGAAATCGAGTTTAGAAAAATAAGAAAGAAACTCACTGGTCTTCTTTCACTGGAAAACCTCCGATTATAGTCAGTTAGCCGTTCATCGCATCGTAATGCTTCATCAGCATTACTTTCTCTTTCACCTTCTACCGGTAAAGGTATCAGCAAATTAACCTGTAGTGTAAGTCAAATTTCATAAATGATCAAGCAGCGATTAATTTTACAAAATTGTTAGTTCTCCATAAAATTAATACTTGAGATATAAAAACAGTAAATTGCCGAAACATACAATTTCTCTGCATACTGCACATTTTACAGGTGTAATTAACGAAGCACTATATTGCCAATATCCATAAATACAACTACCTGAAAAACTACCGTTTTACTATTTTCATATAAGTGAAAAATCAAAATCAAAAAAAATGATACAGTAAAGATCTAGGGACTCACAGCAAAATAAGTGACCGCAGTTTGTAATAACAGCAAATGAAGCCTGGCTAAAACATATTGGACAAGTACGATCATCTCCAAATCGTCGCAGCGTTCCCGGCCTACTCTAAAACTCAAAAAATACCACGTTGATAGACGTTCCATAATTATCTCAACAACTAATATGTAATCTGTAATTTAAGAAATAATTCATGCCAGTAAAAATGAAAACATTTTAATGAGAAGCTATAAGACCTTACGTTATTTGCACTAGATTGTGATCCTTCTGATTGAGTACTACCCGAAAATGCACGTCTGAATTCAGCAACAGTCGATTCCAGAGTAGGATGGATACTCCTTTCATGACGCCTAAAAGCGGAATACATTAACGTCTAAAATAGATTGAAATTATATTAAGACTGGCCATCGATCAGTTTTGTTTTCTTTAGAATGCAAAAATAAGAACTCTGTAAAAAAACAGAAAGTGATTGTTAAATTTAAGCAATAAGCAGTGAAAGAAATTATGTACTGTTAACACTGTAATAAAATATGAGAAGCCTAAGCTTACCGACAATATGCAAAACAAATTACGCCAATAACAGCACATAAAAACGTGAACATCACAATGATTTCATTGTCAAAGCCTGAAAAAGTACGCGTTACTCAAAATTTGAATTAATTTTACTTCAATTAAATAAGTCTGTACACTTCAAATTTCAAAAAAGATTGATTTCTCTCAAACAATCCTCAACAAACACAGTGAGTGTAAGTAGTCTTTACTCTTATTCCTGTCTCAAAGATGAAAGATTACAAGAATTGCTGCAGATTGTTAACTTTTTGGCATTTTCTTCAAGCGTAGCTTGGAAACTTAAGTAACTTGACCTCTATATCTAACTACATATTGAACAGAAAAATCTGCCTTCAATGAGCTGGAGTTCGGTAACACCAGCACGCACCATCATCACTTTCATCAATTCCAACACGAGAGCGTTTCGATTATACATTGTTTGTATGGAATAATTGTCATGACGACATCGACTATGTTCACCTGAAAATACTTACCTGCAAATAATTCGAATTTTTCACACTTCCAATGTTTAGATTTTTCGAGCTTAACGTGCTTATTTACTCATAAAATATAAGTGATTAAATGTTGCTCTCAGTTGATGCCAACTACCATTTTGCATCACTCAGAACTAGGTGAAAAATAACAAAAAAGAATAATTAAAAGGGATTAATACAACAAACTTCACACCTTCTAGCGATTGCAACATTTATTTTGAACCTTCTCGCTTAGAGAAACTTCAGCCCGAATATCTATCATCTATGGCAGTGTAATATGAACTGTGGGAGAAAGTTAAATCTTAGTAGTCCGAACCATCAATAACCCACAAGCTGACGCTGACATACTCTTAGCTGGTAAAAAGTTAAATCAATATTGGAACACGTACGTCACACAACATTCAGCTGTATGAATCATCATCAACGGGTCGAGTTAAAGGCCATGTCCACTGCAAACACCGTATAGAAGAGGTGGAAGACATTTTGTCGCTGTACGCTATTTCATCTTACTTTTGTTCTCTCTACAATCCTGTCATTATTTTTATTCTCTTCACGCACTGCGCATACTCTCACACTGATTAACAAAAAAAAACTTGATGGGTGAGATATTTGCAGATTGGAGAGAGAGAGAAAGGAAAAGAAGGGAAGAGAGGAAGAGAGAGAGCTTTTCTTGGTAGAAAAGTTTCATGGCGGCTCGGTCCACTGATGCGAGAGGGACTATTTACCAATGTTTACCAACGCAAAGAATTCGTACTCATTTCAAATAGTACTTAAACTGCACTTATTTCAAATAGTACGTAGACCAAGAAAGCATCATTAAAATGGATAAGAGTTGAAAGAGATATTTAAAAATATTTGTCAGTCTTCACTGAAAGCGCAAAATGACTTTCTAATTACAAGGAATTATCCCTCTTGGAAAGTAAATGTTGAATGAATAAATAAGAAAAAAAGTCTATTGAAGTCGGTATTTGCTTTATCCAATGAAATCCAAAACGCAATTTACAATAATTTAATAATCCCATTCATTCACGAGGAATGTTAATTATTCAACACTTTCTCTACAAACAAATTATCGCACATATATAGATTTAAGGTATTTCGAAGAAAACAAGTATAATTTCTTCATAATCATCAGTTGCAGCTGAAAAATTTCTTCAATATCTACTCATCAAATTGTGTGTTAAGAATGTTTTCTTTGATTTCTTGGAAGCGATCTTCGATACTGTGCTATGATTACAGTGGATTCCGAATGTGAATTCATGATAGATTCAGTTGTAAAGAGTCGAAAATGCTCATGAATAAATTCATTATTGTGTCTAATTTTGAGGACTTAACCACTCATATCCATGCATCTTAATTCCTCCAAATTAAGCTCTAATGGTTGATTTCTTACGAATTTTTATAAAAAGCCCCGCTCAATAAGTGAAAAGAAGTAAATGATTCGCGATGAGATTTATGTAATCTCCCCACCATTTTGTTCATCTCATTTTATTGCTTAAGTACTATATTCTGCTTTATATTCTTCAGTTCTCTGTTCTTTTCTTATTTTATTCCATTTCACCTAGTCATTTAAATTTTTTCCACGGAACAGAAGCAAATGACAAAATGTTTTGTCGAGTAAATTAGAATCCCCTGAAGTAACTTCGTTTAACTAAAGCAGAATGCAAGAAATTATTTAAACTTAATCAAAAAGTCTCGATCTCATTTTTTCTTTATGGTGCTTTATGTGCCATTGTTCGAAGCAGAGATTCGCTCGCCGACCGTAATTGCTGTTTATCAAAACACTTTTATATACTGATGACAGTAAACGAGAATATAGAGATTGCCGCCAATAGAATAAACTTCTGAATAAAAGTTATAGCATGGAAAAAAAACTTAAGTGTAAACAAGGTTATCTGACTAGACTTATGAGCAATTCATTTCGCATATTTCGATACTATTCGAAATACAATAAAATTCTTATGACGAAAATTAGAATCTGTCGAAAATCCTTCCTTTGGGAAATATTATTCTAACATTAACAGCACGTAAAAAACAATCATTGGTAAATTAATTCACCTTTTAGGCAATTTCACACTTTTTTTATAAAAATTTCTCCAGACCGAAATTGTAGCAAAATAATCTTCTTTGACCTTGACAACTAAAAAAATGGATATTCTCCGAGTTATAGTTACAAAAACACGGTAGAAGTAGTAAAATGATTGTTTTTGACTGACAATATTTCATCTGTTTCAAATATTATAAATCTTTCACAAACATAAACTGACTTGTAGTCGACATTAACATAGCAAAAGCACTCGTACGAAATACAAGTTACTACTAATCCTAATCAATTATTCGTGTCTTGTTGATTCCAATTTATCTTTTGCTTCGTTAATTTTTGCAGCCAAATAAGGTGAACCACCACGATCAGGATGATTGGCAATCATTATACGTTTATGCGCTTCCTTCACTTTCGCTGCCGGAGCATTGGGTGATACACCAAGGACCAATGCCGCTTCACGTCGCGTCATAACAGGCTCGAAACCACCACGATAATATTTCGACATACTATTTGCAACCGGCAATGTTTTCGCCATTTTCAGGAATGCCGCACGATTTCGCAGCATCATACGTCCAGTTAGTCCAATGACTACCAAACCAACGCCACCAACGATGAGTGCAGATGACATCCTTAGACCCGGTGAAATTTTAAAACCATATATTTTCACTGAAAATATATTCCATTTTTCTAAACTATCAAAAGTGATTTAGTTTATGATGAGTAATGCTTAAAACTACATATTCATCGAAAAACCGTGTAGATATATTTCCGTCAATTAAAAATTTAAATTACTAAACTTCAGAATCTGTTCTCCTCAAGGATAATTCCAGAGGAAAAAAGAACACTTATGAAGCTAATGACAAATAATTCACGGACAGGAGAGAATGTCATTTGCTATTCGACTGTCATCGAACATTAACTCTAATTAAGACAAGACATCAGAAAGAAATTTTGTTTACTTCTTTTAGAAATAGTAATATTACAGTTTATGCAGATTCAAACTGCTGTAGTACAAAATTTTAATTCCAAATAAAACTATTTTTAAAGCTTGTTACAGAGAACAATAAACAAGAAGTTAAACAAATGAATAAAAATATGAACAAATCACAGTAAATGAAAGAGCTGATCAGAAAAGATAGTTACTAAGTTGAAAAAAGTAAATTTAGATAGGAAATCAACGCACTGCCAGAAGTTCAACCAAACTGCTATTTTCAGAAATTATGGATTACTTTCATAATGGATAAAATATTCCACTAACTAGAATTTTATGAAAATATCGTGGGAGACCGTAAATAAAATAAAAAAGCAATATAAAGACTCCCATAAAAAGATAATAATGCGAAATTCCCGAAAATGCAGAATACTAATGCAGTTTAAACAAGGCACCCGCCACAATTAACCAAATTATTTTAGATTTGTAAGAATGTTAAAAATTTACTGACCTCCTTTCCATCTATCCTTGCTCGGCTTATTTTACTTTCTTTTTTTTTTCAGAGTATTAGGAATTACTTGATTTTGCTTTATTATTTTTTGCCTCCAAATTTTCCGAATTTTTTGGCGCCTTCCAAAAATTTTCGGGTTATTTTGTCATAAATCCCAGTCTTAAGACTTTGACTTTATTTCAACACTTCCACAATATTTTGAAATTTTTTTGACAAATTCTCCATTGTCCTTTAGCCTTCTCTTTTTTAGTGATTTCTCTCCAGAAGTTTGGTAATTTTTTCCAAAACAAACAGTGCACTATGTGATATTTTTTTCATTCTCAGAAATGTTCCACTATGTTTTCTTAACGAAATAAAATTCGTTGTTAGTTATTTCCTTTACCCTATTTTCCATGTTTACCATTCACTGCCAATCACTGACTTTGACATTATAAATCATTCAAAACACCAGATCATTTTTCATTTGATTCCATCTGTCTTCCTTCATTCAGTCTTTCACATTGCAATTCTGTTCCACTCTTAAAACTGTTAGAAGAGAGTCCTTTCTCCTCTGACACATCAAAATTAGTATTATCAATGTCCAGTTTTCTTGTAACTTCATTCACATTGAGCATTTCATCACAACGCGGCGTAACTCGGACTCCAACCGCTTCCAATACTTCAGTTAATTTTCGGGAATAGTCCAGGTGACCCTTTATCTACAAAAGAAAATGAAGTTATAAAGCCATATCAAACTGTTATCTGCAATGCTTAATTACGTTTTTTTATCAAATGCTTTGCAAAAGAAAACTGTCTTAAATTATCCGTATTTCTGAAAAAAATGGACGAACTATATGAGAAAGGTTGAAATTGACAATTTTCTTTTCCATTTTGCATATCACAGGACCCGTGCCAGCAATCGTAAATTGTGCATTCATTGTACGGTAAATAAACCTGAAAAGTTGATAATATGCCAAATATAAAATTCAGAAACAAATATAAGATTTACACCAATTTGGGAACTTCGACTGCCAAATATTATTAAATCTGTGTAATTTTGCTGCAAAAAGTAAACTAAATTAAAATAATGTTTTTTTTTACACTTTTAACATGGAAGGATGAAAGAGAGAATTCAAAATATGAAAACCCGACCTAAGTAACCAATCGCTGTTACAATAGCCATTTATAATCCGTCCTCCAACAACCTGACTTATCTGCTGCCATTGAGTGGGTGAAGCTGTTACGGGTGCACCAAGAAGAACAACATCATTAATTATTCCTAGAATCCTTTTTTCTAAATTTTATACCAGTAAAGTGAAAATAAGATAGAAAAAAAGATAGGAAAAAGATAGGAAAAAGATAGGAAAAAGATAGGAAAAAGATAGGAAAAAGATAGGAAAAAGA